GCTTTGCAGATGAGCAGTACTCTAGAAACAGGAGCTCCTGGCTCTACCAGCAATGGTTTTGGTGCCTCATTCTCTAGGTCTGGGAAAGCTACTTTGAACTGTCCTTTCTTTCTGCTTCTCAAAGCCTCCCAAAACTGTGCTGAGGGACAATCATGAGAACAAGCCTTTCATAAAACCAGTCATAGAAATTCCAACAAGAATGATATGAACTTATGAACGACTCTGCCAGTCTGGCTGAAAACGTTCTATCACTGTAGCTCTACTGTCCATGGCTTCAGGGATGGTCATCTCTACAGATGATGTTTCTTTCAAAGAAAGTATGCCTAACACTGTTTTTGTTTGGGCTTTTCTTTCCTTTAAGTAGTCTATCAGACTATATAGTATCAACAGTCCAGGTGGCCACTGAGCAGCCCATTCTGAGGTAACTTTTAGGTCTGGTACAAAATGTCCTTTAATCAGCTGTGGGTAACTTTCAGGTTATCCTGAGAGAGTATTCAGTTAGCCATTTGTTTCTCTTCTCAGGTCAACTTGGTTCTTGATTTTGGATCTTACAGAGTTAGGGAACAGACTTGAAGGGTTTGGCCATGAGGAAAGTCATTACTCCAGTTTCCTGCTTGCCGGTATACAATGCTAACTACAAGTCTCTAAGAAAGTGTTTAAATGACCTTAGAAAATGACTCACTCATTTCCAGCATCTGTGAAGTAGGGGTAACACTACCTTCCCTATCTCCTGCTTCACAGGTTTATGGGGAAGGTCAAAGGCATGTGAATTTCAAATGTCTGAGAGTATCTACCAAAGTGCTCATTGCCTCTAAGTATCATTATTGTAATCAATATTTTCTTTTTAATGGCAAAGCAGGCTGGGCATGGTGGCACACATCTTTAATCACAGCACTTGGGAGGCAGAGGCAGGTGAATCTCTATGAGTTCAAGGCCAGCCTGGTCTACATAGCAAGTTCCAGGCCAGCTGGGGCTACAGGGAGACCCTGTCTCAAAAAGACATTAAAAAAAAAAAACCCAAAGAAAGAAACAAACAAACAAAAAAATGACAAAGCGATCAGAGGAGGCAAGTATTATATTTTAACAGAGCATTTTTTAACCTTGGTGATATTGACATTAGTGGTGGAAACATCCTTGGTTTCTCCATGTTAGATGTCAGTAGCCCAGCCTCTCACCACGATTTATAACATAAAAAAATGCCTTGTAGCCGGGCGTAGTGGCGCATGCCTCTAGTCCCAGCACTTGGGAGGCAGAGGCAGGCGGATCTCTGTGAGCTAAGGCTAGCCTGGTCTACATAGTGAGTTCCAGAACAGCTGGGGCTATAGGGAGACCCTACTTCAAAAAGACAAAAAAAAAAGCCTTGTGTCCCAGGTAATACTCCTTCAGTGGAGGACACCCTGCAGCTGGTTGAGACACACTGTAAGGGAAAAACGTCTCACCTGAAAGCTGACGCTGCCCACCGGCAGGTAGCTGTGGTCCTCCAGCATGCTCAGATACTCAGCCACCAAGGCAGCCGCGTGCACGAGGCACATGGCGGCCTCTGTGAAGCACTTCCTCTTCGTGTGCTTCTCTGCCATGTTCTGGAGCCAGGTCAGCCGCAGGTCAGGAGACGCCTGGTAGCTCTTGGCAATTCTGAAGACAGATTGGGAAAGGGTTTCAAAGGCCACTGCTGGAGCCTCTGCTCTACAGGATACTTTGGAGATTTTGTTTTGTTTTATAAATTTTTGTTTTCCCCTAACTTGTATTTGCCTAGAGAGAAAGAGTTAATGTTTTCATCTAACTCTTTTCAATCCATGTCTAGAGTATGCTGGATACCAAGAAAGAGCATTTCGTAAAGGCCTTATGAGGAAAAAACCTTGATAACATGTTGGGGTTCTCTGTTATGCAAGTAGAAGTCTCTTCACGTCCGGATAGCTCACGAGCTCAGAAAACCATGTGCTGCAGATTCCTTCATAGCAGAGAGCCTTCCTGGCATCCTCCCTGCCTCTTCTTTTACAGTACTCGCCACAAATACATGCCCTCCAGCACAGGAGCTACCAGGTTTTAATCAGGCTTTGTCTGATAGCCTGATAGAAGCCCACCGCCCTATGTAAATGAGGCATCCTAAAAGTACCAATCAGCTAAGACTTATTCTACTGTCTCTACACTATAAATAGTCCTAGTTTTACCCGAATAAAGTTGGAGCCTGGATCACCTCACTCAGACTCGGAGCCTGGATCACCTCACTCAGACTCGGAGCTGGATCACTTAGAGCTGGATCACTTAGACTTGGAGCTGGAGCTGAATCACTGAGATCTGAGCTGAGTCACTTGTCTTGAGCTGTAACACTAAATCCTGTGATCCAGTCTCCCCGGGGGGCGCTATTCCTCCGTTATCGGCCCACGGATACCCCAGCTTTCGCCGCCTTCGTGCCTCTTCCCTGTGGAGTTCAGACTCAAGCTGGGACTAGCCAGGTGAGGTGGAGACCCCAGGGTGCCCGCACACACCACGCCGGGGGTCCAGCGACCCGCCCCATAATAACATTATGTCCTTTTTCATGGATCTAGAAGTTTTCTTCCTTCTGTTTCTCACAAAGTAACAATGGGGGACAAAGGTAACGCCTTCTGAGATAGATCAGAGCAATTATGCCTTTATAAGTAGATTCTCCTGAAACTATGGGACAAGAAGGCAGTTGTAAACTACACAGTAAAATATGACATCTAAAGTAAATTGCCTGTAAGTTTGGCTGAATATAATTGCAACAATGCATTTGGGAAAGAACTCAGGTAACAGTTGATAATTCTGTCTCTCATTCTAAACAAAAGGCAGTATTATAAACACTGCACTTGAAGGGCAATCCTTCTGAAAATTTATATATGAATCTTCCCCAGTTTTCTATCAATTTCACATATTTGTGGATGTTGTCCCCAAACTGGTCTATCATGGTGCCTATGATAATTACATTAGAAAGAATTTACTGAGAAAACCCTGGACCTTTCCAAGCAATGGCCCTCAGTTTCTCAGGGAAGTTTACCTGTACATGAGATCCATGAGCATCTCAGGATCTTCCTGAAATTCCCTCATTTTCACAGTGTCATATAAAATGCTATTCAGATTGCAGAGAAGTTCCTCCACCTGCAAAAAAATGTAAGCCCCCCCAAAAATCTTGGCTTTGCGGTTCATGGTCGGGGTTAGGGGTACAGTGAAAGTGCAGGAGCAGCCAGGGAAAGCAGAAGCAGAGACAGGAGCTGGAAGGCCCCAGACTGCCCTCTGCAGCCTTTTCATCTTTGCAAGTCAAGGCCCACAGGTGATTTGACCCTGGGATCCACCAAGCAGTCCTGCATCCTTACACTACCTCCCCCTCCAGCACCCAATGTTTAAACAGTTCAAATGCGTTTCAGATATCTGCAATCTGCAGAGGTATAAAACTCTCCTCTTGAAAGTCGGGGCTTAAGTGAAAACCAATCACAGTCTAGACGAGCAGCTGGAGTTGAAAGCCAGAGACATGCTGCATCTTTTACTCCACAGGCATTGCCATAGAGATGCAAGAGATGACCGCCCCCATATAGAGATGACCGTCCTCACAAGAGATGACCGCCCTCACATAGAGATGACCGTCCTCACAAGAGATGACCATCCTCACATAGAGATGACCGTCCTCACATAGAGATGACCGCCCTCTCACAGAGATGACCACCCTCACATAGAGATGACCGCCCTCACATAGAGATGACTTCCCTCACAAGCTTCGGAGGGTCAATGCTGTTTACGAGCCTCTTTAACCGGAACCTGCCTTGCTTTCCTAACAATCCATTATCACCCACACTCATTATCTCCTCCCACTTTCCCCGTGCCTAGCTAAATTTGCCTCCACGTCTTTCCACACCACTCGTTTCTTCATTAATCACCCTTCAGTGTTTATTTTGTTTTATTGTATTGTTTATTTTACTTTTTTCAGTGCTGGAGACCAAACTCAGAGTTTTGTGTATGCCAGACAAGTGCTCTACCACTGAGCTACATCCAACCTCTGCTCCCCTTCTTAAACCTTACACAGCATTTCCCAGCACAC